TCTCTCCTCTTTTTAATTAAATTATATCAACGGCAGCATCAGCTCCGTGGTAATTGGCAGGGGCGGATCCAGAAATGTCCAAAAGGGAGGGGGGGCCGAAAGGGGGGCCGAAATCCCGCGAAATGTTTGTGTTGGGGGGCCGAAATTTGGTCCGATCGAGACAACAATGTCCTAGGAGGTCCGGGGCATGCCCCCGCGAAATTTTTGTGTTCTAGACGCCCGAAAATAACATTTGAGGCGTTGTGGGCTATCATTTTTTTCTTTTTCTTTCTTTTTCCTTTTTCCCCTTTTTTTTAACCTTCCAAAGGGGGGGGGGGCGGGGCCGGGCCGCCTCCCCCCTCCCTAAATCCGCCCCTGGTTGGCCTCACAGATCGCCAGTGCACAGATTCGCTTTAGCATGGAAGTATTGTATGGCTGTACTATGGCTATCCCAGATCACAGCCCTGGGAGTATGCCCCGGCCACTAATCGTAGGAAGCTGTAGCTTTACTGAACATTTTGAAGTAAATATAGCGATAGGCTTATTAACTACAAAGTATCTCTTATTCCATAGTAGAGTTTCAGGCTTATTAAACAAAGTATCTCTTAATCCATAGTAGAGTTTCAAGTGCCCTAATGCCAATACATTCGTTAAAAAGTGGTGGGCTTAGTGGCGGGTGGGGTGGGTGACAATAACAAGGTCGGATGTGGATAATGATAATAATAATAAGTAACGATAATTTATAATTATCATTGTAATTAATTTTCCCGCTATAATCAACAAATTTAACTTGTATATAGGCCTCTATATTTATATCTATATATTGAATGTTTCCATCTACTAATTTTATAGGCTATATTTGCCTATTCCTGATTCTTGTATTGGACTTTCTGTTTTTTAATCATAATTTGTTATTGTTAAATGTTTACTTGATTAGAGCGTAGTTACACACTGAATTACTGTTTGATCTGTAATGTCTGTTTATTTTAATCATTGAGGATTTTGTTTACCTACATTTTAACAACTCAGTTTGCAATGAAGCTTTTTATGTCATAAACTGTTTTATATACCGGTACATATTTATATTTGTTGAAAATATACCGATATAACTCCGACCGAAGACCTACCAAACATTTTGTAGGAATCATATAAAAATGAATTAATTAGTTCATAGATTTAAAATTAAGTAATAAATAACGTATAAAAAAAAATTATATTAAAACCTGTTTTTTTTTAAATTATTAGATGCATTAGGCCTAATTCAAATTGTTTAGCATTTATTAAGTAGATTGTTATGTTAAATTGTTAGTTTAAAAAATGCTACAGTCGGATGAGTTATGTAATAAAAATATAAACACAATTTTACTAGATCTGGGTTATATTTTAACTTACTCTATGTATGTATTTTCCTACTAAAAGTTTTAAAACCTATTTTGACAGCATCCATTTTAACACAATGTTATTAGATCTTTAAGATATATTCTAGAGGATATTAGACATGTTGAAATCAAGTTGAAAACAGCAACTCTCACTTGACGATTTCTCAAACATATTTCAAGCATTCCAACAATGACAATAATTTATATGAGTCGAATGGCCGAGCAGGGGCGCCGCAAGCTATAGCCATAATATCGGCGCTGGTTCGAACGGCACGCTCGCCTGGTTCTGGTGGTAAAACAAGTCTTCTCGGATAAGGACTATAAACCGTAGGCCCAGTGTATACAATGGCTCGTGTGCACTATAAAGAACCCTGTACATCCTTCGAGACAAGTAGGGGGATACCCCGGTGTACTGGAACATACAGCCCCTGTGGTGGACGACGAGAGTTGCTGGTACCGGGTTACCGGGTAGCACAGACACGAAGGGACCCTTAGGGGCGAAGAAAGTCATTGATCGAGTTCCTATATAAAACTACACTACTATTATTACTATTATATATATATCGGAGCCTAGCAGCCTAGCATTTTAATTGAATTAAATTAAATGTCTATAATTCAAAACTCCAAAGTGTATGTTTTATATGTGTTAATTCGGAATGATCAAGGGCAGCCGATCGGCGCCGCACCTGCTGAAGCCATTAACACTTCAGAATAGAATAGACACACACCTGGGGTTACAATGACCAACGTAATCAGATTAATGACACATTTAAATGGCTACTTGGCTACGAATAATTAAGGACCAATAAATGCTAATTACAATCGCGTCTTAATGGAATTTAAAAAAAAGTGTCTGAGGAAAGTGTCCCGGTACCGGTAATCAGCAGCAGTATCATCAATAATTGTGTGTGTTAATCATTTTCAGAGATTATTGAATAATCCGTACCCGTTTATGATGAACTTGTATTGAGAATTATTTTCTTTAACATAATGTTTAAACTTGTTAAAAAAAAAAAGTTATATTATAGATTGGCCTATCTTTTTACACTTTAAGTTTTTAAGACCATATAACTTATCATTATTATGAGTATAAAATTAATGCACTTTTCAAACAATAGTTTTGTTGTAGTGTAACCTTTTTAAGAAGTTAAACGATTTAGGATATCAATTATTTTTATCCCCGAAGTAATTATCACTCATGTGGAATTACATGTTGATTCGTCAACATCACGGTTAGAACTGAGTTGTGTACAATAAACCTTAGACAAATCAGCTAGAGCTAAGCTCATACTAAACCCTTACCCCCCCCCCCCCCCCTTTCCACCATCACTGTCATCATCAACATCATCATCCTTTTCATCTTCGTCGTCGTAGTCGTCATCATGATCATCATGATCACCACCATCGTTAATACCGCCACATCTTCACCACCACTATGGGTTACTAAGGCCTCCATTCCATAGATGACTATAGTATATATAAACACTCGACGTTTTCAACTTCAATTCAACATAGACCTATTATTTTGACAAATTGTAATAAACATTACGATGGAAATCATGCAAACATGTTAATAAAGATGCGACCATGGACAAGCGACAACAGGCACTCTTAACGCGAGTCCGTTCGTGTCGTCTCTCTTCATAGGTATTATTCTAAATATTCAAAAGCATTTCAATATCTAATCCATTCTATTATACCTTAACAATTTTAAATTCAATTTCATTTTTTGCACTTTTACTGGTAACTACTTGTATTGTAAATTATTTCATGGTTTTTAAATGCTTAGTTTAAAATTGATTAATATATAAATATTATTGCACATTTTAGGCCTATCGAATTATCTTTTACGATTTTGTCCGATTTATGCATATTATGTCTCGTTTTAAGTAAGTGGTTTGTGTAGATCTACTGTGAACGCCAAATAAATAAATTGCTTGTTTTGCGTCCCTTCCCTCTTCGAATAGTAAATAGCGAATACTGTATTAAATACATTCATCAAAAATAATTTGAAATCCTCGACGTGAAACTAAAAATTTAATTATATTTGGCGTGTGTAGGCCTACCATTATTTCTAATGAATCTATATATAGTACTAAAAGGTAGACCTAAGTCATTCAGTTACAGTATTGTCAAAGAAAAATATAGAGCGCCCTCTATACTTGGATCTATATTACTGCCATAAAAATAGAGCATACTGTAGGAGTTAATAGTAAATGACAGTTGCCATAGAGTGAAGAAAGCTAAACCGTAAAACACCAAAATCTACCAAGTAGCGTACAGCATAAAGATATGCTATATACCGTAATATAGAACATGAAAAAAAATCTCCTTGTCAACATTACATTCCTGTCTTTACATCATACAGTATAGGCCTACACTTAAATGGCAGCAAATTTTTATAATTTTTTTTACTAGTTGATGTGGCTCTATTAGGATTTAAATAAACTTGAATATAAATTAAGTAGTCATAACATCGATGTTTGGGATCAATTTTTAAGTGCTAATATTGATATTAAATTAAGCTACGTCCTAGGCTCCACTATTCTTTCCATGACAAATGAAGTAGAGAAATACTTTGATGAATTTTGTAAAAGTTATGGAAAACGAGCGTGGAGAAAAAGATCTGAATTGAAGCACTTTCAAACTTTATCGTAGATTAAGTATCTGTATTACTGTCTTTTTTTGTAACTAATTAATTTTGTTTGCCTTAACATTATTGTTGAGTTTGTTGATGGTACAGGTGGCCCTTCGAAATTTGTGACAGGCAAGGCAGGTTGTATTTCCTTGTCATGTTTATCTGGGAGCTACTTGCCTCATCAGCAGCACTACTCACTTGTGTTTATTTCATTTTTACTTAAGATTCCCTTGTTTTGTTTCGTAATTTTTTTTTGCACTTGTAGCTAAGAATTTTAATTCACTTTGAACACACCAAGTGATTTTGAGTGCCACCGATCTAAAGGTGTATGTTCTAATAAATGATTGAATGATGAAAAAAATGAACAATTTACAGTTTTATTTCCAATTTGGGTGTTTTCTATACTTTTCGAGTGACAGCATACTTTAACAAGTGTCAACTCTTGTTGTTAATGTTTAGGATGACGTAAAGGACGAGGAGATAATAGAAGTAGATAGTCATACGTTGATATATTTGAAGACGATACTGTCTTTTGAATATAATTGATAAGCGGTGATAGTGGCTATATTTAGTCGGAGAGTGAACATGTATTTAAACAATTAAACACAAAGTCCGTGATAGTACCAAGAAACACAATTATGACTGTTTGCATTCGTAGTTAAGTTTATCTTGTCTGGACGTGTCCCTGTCAAACTTTATGATAGTGATTGAAAAGTACGTTAAAATTCATACCAATTATGATTATTGGAACTTGTCTAGACACGATATTTTTCTTATTCTGACGGTGCCATACAGTACTGTTCACTCGGATACTGCAATAGAATTAAACGCCCTCTATGGCTCTGAGTACCGACCAAGCGCGTCCTTTTTACTTACGACAAAATACTAAACGTCCACTATCACGTAGAAAACACCCCCTTAAGCTCCGCCCACATAATTGCCGTCAACTAGCCAATCACAGTGCAGGAACCGCGTTGTTGTTTAGGACAATAATTACTGGATTCTTCGTACTATTAAGCCATTACCAGTTGAAGGCTAGACGAATGCGGAGTTGTTGGTTTTAGCTTTAGCAAGACTGAGGGAAATTACAGTTGTTTGTTATGAAGAGAGGTCTGAAGATGTGTACTATCGAAAAAATCAGAGTGAAAGGCTCCCGACCAGGAAGAATCACCAAGTCGAAAGCCGTTCGAAATTTATTCGGAACAACGCCTAATGATCACGACAGTTGGCTCAAACAAGAACTTGAGCAAGCGTTCCTACAAGATCGCAAGAAAATGGAATCTTTAGGCCTAGATCCAGATACTGGAATGCCTGCGGAAAATAACACAAGCAGATGGGAATGGACTGCTGTAGATGAGAATTCTTGCCCAAAAATATATAGATCTAAGGATATATTGTCAGGATTTGTAAACTTATCAACGAATTCGTCAACATCAATTGTTTTTTCTTCTGAAAACAACAGACTACTAGATACTGTTGCGAGAAATAACATAGTTTGCAGTACTACTACTACGAGTACTAATACTTCAACCGTAAACCAAGACGCCTCACAAACACCAAAGCAATACAAACAGACTACAATAACAGGTAAGCAACGTTCTTTGCAACATTATGCAAGTAAAAATGCGTATCAATAAAAAGAAAAGGCGAATTTCTAACGTTCTTGACCTAGCTAGGCCCAGTGTCGTTGTTTGTAGGTATTGTATTCAGCGTCCCGTTATAATCGATCTCGGCCTCGATTGGTTTATTTTGGTTTCTGTATAGTGTTTAAAAATTCATTAGCAAATTGTACATGTAGTTGCATTGTCGAGGATCGTATTTTATCTTTGTGTATGGTGGAAACAGCAGAGTACTGTTCCTACTGCTGCTGCTACTACTACTATCATTTACATCTTTAAAAACTTAATAATCATTGATTTAGTTTGAGTTTTCTGACATCGAGCGTTTAATTCATAAATAGTAGGGAACTGCAAGTGACTTGAGTTAATTGATACCTCGAAGATGTCGGGCGTAGGCTTTGTTCCTGTCTTGACTTGCCCAGTCAGGTTTGAAAGGCTACCCTGGACTGGTTTTGATGTCACTAGCTACGGTATTATTATATACGTACTACAATGTAGTGCGTGGACAGATAAACAACTCCACTGGGATTAGCACCGTTTAACAGTTGTGTAATAATATATGTGTATACTTAAAATTGAACCAAGGTCACTAAACAGTTGTCCTCAGCTGTGTTGTTGTTTACTATATAATTTTATATAGCGTAGCAGAGACATTTTATTTGAGCCTTGTTTAAATTATGCCACCGAACTACTAGCTAGGGCCAGTGATTTACCACGGAAAAGACTGTCATGCCTGTGTTGACAGTTGTGTTAATAAAATATAAATGTAGACCGATATACAGATCAAGAATAATATATATATATATAATAATAATAATATATAATATATCACACTGAGATGGGATTTTGAAGCCTTACACTAGTAGTTATCAACCAGTTGTAAAAGTGGTGCTTAAAAGTTTGAGAAAGGTGTTAGTGTAACCATGGAGGGGTGTGACCTTGGAGGTATACAGCGTACTAGTAAGGCTATGGTAAAATAGAAAACAGATTTTTTGTTTTTTTGGAAATTAATAGCTGGACTTGATTTTGGGTTTCAGCTGGAGACCAATTACTGTAGTTATAAGATACGATGTAGGATAACAGTGTAAAAAAGCAAGCAGTACGGGATCATTACTTGTACAGAAACAGTAGAGTTAATTAACGCGGCCCTAGGGGAATGGATCGGAGGCGGGTCTCTTTAATAAATGCTCACCTTGAAGAATTGCCGTGGCGAGCTCTCCGGGGCTAGCATCTGCTGGTTGCCTGGATCTCTTTTAGGTGACAGGCGCCACGTGCCATTCGCGATATCTAAACATCATCAAGCAAGTTTGACTATAAACAAAGGTCCAGTACTACTACATATTATAGCGAATTTCATGCAGATTTAGCTTCTTTTCGTATAGGGTAGAATCGATCGATGATCGAGTACCGGTATAGATTTTTTGTGGACGTAAAGAGAGATGGCTTAATTGCTATTCTTCTTGTCAGTTCTGTCATCACTGTCTTTCGTGAAATCGACACCTGATTTGAGAACAAAGGAGTTGTCGCTTTGTTTGATATTTTTGGTATTTACTGCAATCATTTTGTCATATTCGTCATGGAATTTCCTGCTCAGTATAATTTGCAATCAAATAGATCCTTCCCAATTTAGGACAACTAAAGGAAGAATCCATTATCACTCCAACGATGTACATTAATTAAATTCGAAGTTCTTCAAATTTATCCTCGCCATCATCTAATATCATTCAAATTTGCACAATACTTTTATATGTTCTTGTCAAATGTTATCATTACTATCAATTGTATGGATTTACGTCAAATTTGACATTTTATATTACAGATTTTATGCCACAACGCCGACACCGGGTAGGCCTACTAAGAGACCAGCTTTCACCTATATTCCGATCTAGTAGCAGTAGACAAAAGAATTTAGAAACATCAGTACAAAACTCTGCAATAAATACACAAGATTCGACTACTGTTACAGAAGCCCAATAATTGTTAGTATATTTTATTATATATTTTTACGTTTTGGTATTCAATGATAAATAACAGTAACCACAATGAGGAGTATAAAGCTCAAAATTGTAGACAATTTTACCTTTCCCTTTTTATTTTTCCTGCCGTTCTTTTTTTCCCTTCTCGTTTGCCTCCGTTCTGGGTTGCCTTCTTGATCTTCTTTTTTATTTTTCGTACTAGGGTTGTTTGATCATTGTGTCTTCTTTTTCTGTGAATTTTTGATTGAGCTTTTTAAATTGATTTTTATTGTTCTAATTATCTTGTCCCTCTATTTTAATGTTTTTATATTTCTGATTGCGATTTACTGTTCTGTTTTGTAGTTAGTTATTAATGCATTTGTTATTTTACATTCAATTTGGCTCATTGCCACGATTTGTCAATTTTGAATAAAGAATTTAAATAAAGAATAAAGAATCGCACTTTGGTGCAATATTGTCTTCAAAGCGTGAATTGATCTACGTCGTTGTGGTAGGCTACGGCACTGATTTTAATTTCTGGGTGTGAAGAAATATATAGACAGCAATGTAATTTGATGTGACCAAAGACGCGGACCTCTGGTCGTAATGTAATATATTTTCTTTATTAATATGTAGAATTAAATGGTCCTCTAAATACAGTGTTTCAGAAACGCTCTTTTATATTCCATGCTATTAAGGAAGAAACGTATGACGATTACATAGTTGGTTTAGAATAGAAACATTTCGTTAACGTCATGAGAAGTCGGTGTATTATCGAAGAATAAATAAAGTGAACATGTAATAACACAATTAAGTGAACTTTGGACTTGGACAAGCGTGAGCTCAATTGTGTTTTCCATATGCGCATTTCTTACCGGGAATTCCCGTTTCGATTGTTAGTCGTCTGCTCAATAAGTAGGCCTAATGTGAATTATAATAGGCTGCCTAATTCCCTAAGGGAAGATTAGGTAAATAAAATGCTATCTCGGCCAATCACAGTGGCTTTCGAAAATCAGGATCGGTCAGTCGGCTTTTTTTTACCATATAATATAAACAAGGACCTTTTGTGATACATCATTATATTTTTTGCGAAAAATACTGACCCCAGGTTTTGACGATTTTTTAGGTGGTTCAGCTTCAGCAACACAAAAGTTTTTTTGGTTTTTTTTTTTACCAAATCTATGATATCAAATGTATTAGTTAAAGCATCATAACATGTATTTGGATAAGAAAAAAATTATCGTTGGATAAAAAACAAATTTTTGAGAGGGTTTTATATTACGAGCATGATTTATGTTCTTTCGTAAATGGGACGCGGGTTCATGAATACTGTATATCTTTAAAGTAGTTGATTAACTCAAGCTTAACTTGTGCGAAATACCAGCTCCTAAGAATCATATATCATTATCAAACGGTCTGTCTTTTTATAATAACAATCAACGTAAATTGCATTGCGTCTGTCAAAACATGGTCAAAATAACACACTTCTGAGTGCTGAGCTCATGGTAACAGCGTTGGCTGATGTGGCTGGTTTTTTGAGGGATTCGAAAATTTACCTTTGTTTTTTTGGCAAGATTTCACCATAGAGGAATTAGGCCCAGCTGACTCGAAAACAAATCACTGTGAAATAATGCCAGGTCTCAGATGACAGTATTGTTTTCGTTTGGGCATCTGCATACCTAGAAATTGCACAAGCGTGATCAACGCACAATCACAATGCTGTAGAAGATGGTGGATCGGGAATCGCGACTATCCCCAGAATAACAGCGACTTGTTTGTTTTTTCTACAAATTCTTGCGACCATCAGGACAATAGTGTACATTCTCATTGATCGCGTCTGTTGGCTTGATAATAACAGCGTCGCTGTGCGTTGTCTTCCGATGAGAGAAACTTCTCTTGTGAAACATCTCCGGATTGTAATGAGGTATGATAAATCCTTTTGTATTTTCGCCATCGTTATTTATACGCCGTAATCGACGATTGTTGTTGTCTTTCCAGTAAATGATGTTTTTCCTCTTTCATTCTTTAAATTCACTCAAAAAGCAAAGTTGTCCACGTTTTCCCAAAAAACAACTCTAGACTCGTTACCAGAACTTTTAATTAAAAATAATATTTCCTTTTTGTAAATAAGACCTCGCAAGAAGAATTTATTGTCAGTTAAAAAATTGAAATTGAAGCTTGTCAGCTGATTGTAATTTCTTGTCGCAGGTGGGTGATTGACAGAATCCAGCCATTTATTTCAGGCCATTTCGCGTGTGTTGGAGGACCGCATGCGGCGTCGCCTACCATCAAACGTCGTATGTTATTAATCATAGGCTTCGTTGTTGTCGGTCACGCAGTATTTAAAAAAGGCAATTAATTAAAAATAAGTACTGTACTGTATAATTTTTTTTTTATTAAATTGGTTACTATGCTAAATTAACAAAAAAGGTATATAATATTTTTCTGTTGTGTCCGCAAACACGCGAGTCTGATCGAAATATTCTTTCAGTTGAACCTTGCTCCGTGCAAGATGAAAACTTGTTATCTTACCAAATAAGGAAGTGCAGTAGTAGTAGTAGACTCTCGGCCGCGTCGCGCAGCGGTTGAATATGAAATACCAGATAGATTGACATACAGTGGCTTTAATAGTCGTTTTTACTAGCACTATATAATATACAGATTGTGTAACATCTGAATAGCAATGTTGTATTTTGTAAATTGCAAATGTTAAACATGACAGAGAGGCTCGATTGCTACGTTCGTATCATAATTGCTACGTCAACATTACCAAATTATTTCTACCTCACGGACTCTCTGGATGTCAGTAGGGAAGCGTGGCATTACCTAATTTAGTATTGATAGTAAGCGTCTTTCCCTTCGGTTCCTATCAAGGGTAATTTCGATATCGATCACGTGATCGTTCTGTATTTAGTGCAGATGGATACCTTTATGCTGATTATAATTACTGTACTTAAATTTTAAAATAATATTTATTTGGATCGAAGCTGTAGCTTTGGTCGCTAAGATTGTTGTTCTAAGTCTCTGTAACTTAAGATTTTCATCGTCTAAACACTTAATGACAACGAATCTCTTCCTCCCACCACAAAACGACACTTTATAGTAAGTTTATTACAAAGTTGGTTCATCATTTCGAGTGCAATTGCTACGATACGATACGATTTATTGGGTTCACTTTCAGATACAAAATAAATACATACTGTTTAGTCGGCGTGTAGTAGCTTGACGAATAGTTATTATTAGTACAGTAGTGTTGTTGTTATCCCGCATAATCATACATTGCATTTAACGGATGAATTCGCACGGAAGGAAGTATTTGCATACAATGGCTACGTATAGTTGCATTCGCTTGTGTTATCTAGCGTTGAATCGTCGTAGTCAACATGCACTTCTTCACTATTAACCTGTACGAATAATCCATTGTACTTGTTAACCCACACACTGCATCTGCCCACGGTAGTGCATACCCCAATCTATATTCACTTTGCTAAAACCAAAATTACATAATTAACTATTGTGTTTATAGAATGTTTTATTTTTATCTCTACAGGTGAATGATTATTAATACTTAGATGATGTTGAGGTATTCTCCCTTGAGAATTAGAAGACCCAAGCGAAGCGATAGTGGTTGCTGGAAAATTGCCAATTGAAGCCTGGAAATGTTGCTGGCACGATGACAGATGTAAAACGCACCACAGGCCAAGAACCGTAATGATTCAACTTTCACCCAAGACAAATTTTCCCGCCAATTTCGGAGATTTACAGTAGCGAAATATGAGAAGTCTCTTGCTATTTTTACGCTATGACAAAATAGAGACACTATTCTATTAAACACATCTTAATAAATTTTTAAATATATTATATGAACACTGTTGTAAATAAGTTTAAAAGTGAGTCTAATTTATTTATTCCTAATTATAGAGGTGACAGAACATTCCTTGGTTGCATCATACTCTGATGTGTTTTTCATGTTTATTACAAACCTGATGATGTTATTACGGAGAGGTTAACCCTGTGCACAACCCCAACAACATCCGACCACACAGACGACTAAAGTTGGCGATAGGGCTACTGTATGGGAAAGGATGCTTCTCTACGCCTAGAAAATGCGATGATATCTTTTTGCATTTAGGCTGAAATTAAATTAAATAGATATAAGATATAAAGATATAAGTTTCATTTTTCACATTACAATTTGTAGGACAGAAGTGGATGTCCACAGTGTAATAATATAACCGGTTTAAAGCCTACCTACTTTTTATATCAGGCCAATTAACAAAAATGACTATACTTCTCGTCCTTTTTTGCTGGCGCCTCGAATTTTGCCAACATTTCAATATTTGTATTATTGTTAAAAAATATATAGACTTGTAATGGTGGAGATTTTCACATTCTGTACTGACCTGTGTAGTTTATGTTTGTTGTTGCCAGCATAACGAATTATTGCCATGGAAACACTTAAGGCAAAGAGGCCTTTAATTTATAGATTGGACGAAAAACTATACATTTTTCCTCATGGCCTTAATGTACCCTGGTAGTGGTAGGAATGTGTTTTGTTTTTTTTATCGGCAAGCCGTTTCAGTACTTTGCTGCTCCCCTATGATAAATATTCAACGGACTTTAGAAGCCTATAAATGTGGCGTGATGTTCGTTCTAGTGCAATAAGCCAACAAGCACATGTGTCAACATGCGAAAATAATGACTTGTCAATTGAGGTGTACATGTATGTATACGTACTCCTTAATTATGATGTTGATTGATTTCCCTGTGGTGTGGGTTCGATGAGCGTGTGTAGTGCTCTCTCCTTAAGTAAGTTAGCTTAATGTTGTGTCATCTTTATTTATTCAGAAAACTTATATAATAATAAATAATATAATGATGAGCATAAATTAAAATCACATAGGCATATGAAATAACGTTTGTGACTTCTTTTTTTTTTTAACCTGTCTGGTCTTTTTTTTTTTTTTTTTTGTATCTTTTGTGGGGTCGTCCCCCTTTTATTCACAATTCATATCTGGCATAAACAGCTACCGGTACTGCATATAAGTTTCTCATAATGGGTACAACTATTATACTTTGCAGAAGAAAAATGTGATAAAATTGCAATATACAATGTAAATACAGCATTTATCGGTCGGTCAATCAATCAATTGATCGATCATTCAAATTAGCTTTTCTATAAGCTATTCATTGGATCTAAAAGTAATAAGTAGTACCCATGTAGATCGACCAAGACCTGTCTGGTCTTAGTGATATTTATATCTTTAAAAAAAAGAGACTTACGGTAACCGAACGTAATGTTATGATTGATAACTGAAATGAAATGCGAGAATAAGGCTGGTAGCGATTTTTAAGTTTAGAATGCAAATGAGATTGAATTTCAAACAAGCGATGGTTTTGATGGTGGTGGTGGTGATGATGCCGAGGAGGTATAATTTAGTGCTACTGTTCATAGACGCATTATTTTATACTGTACCGTACTCCGTGAATGATGTGTTGTGTGGATGTTTGCCGTACAATAATCCTGTAATATTGAATGCGGATTTAGGCAAGTTGTTATATATGCTTGGCCTCTACATGGAGCAGTGCTGGCGGGGGGTTCATGGTGGCACAGAACCCCCGTCGGAAAAGGAATCAATCATGTCAGAGGACAACGCTTCGAAAAACTTTTTTTTAACATGAGAGTTACCAGTCCGAAATATGAGAGATGCCTGTTCTTCGAATTTGCTTACTCGGTCTACAAGCAAAATTTGGGTTTAGAATTAATTTATAGCTAGGCCGAAGTTTTCTTAGAAAATATCTCTGTGTTTATACTGTACAAAAATAATTGATTTGTCCAGTGAGAGATAGGCCTACTTACCTCAAGGATCGAGATCGTCGGACAAATTAAAAATGTTAATTGTAGATTTCACTAGTGTTTTGCTCGGTAAGGGGAATCAACCTTTGACCCTTACAGGGAGCTCCATAATCAGGCCTTTTGATTTGGACCCCTTGTTGGTCTTGTTGGACCCTAGGCAATTTTTCAAGATCCATCACTGATACGCATGCGTTCTTAAGTGAACGTGTTACTCGTTGCCTACAGAATGTCGTCACATTTAATCCCAAGTATAGGCCTATTCCCTGAAAACATTTCTTTAAAAAATATAGTATTCGGACCAAGATAAGGACGGATGACATATCCACGGCTATTATTGTCAATCTACTCTAGTCTACGATCAAACAAGCAACCAACGATGGAGGACGCACGTTAACACGACCCATTGGCGAAGATGATGGATGACACATCATTTAATGTACACTGTGATAAGACCGTATATACACACATTAATGCCGGCCTACACCCTCAAAATACATTAACAAGTAGATAAGTGCCACGACTCATGATCCCATCCTGTTGCTGCTAAGTATTTTGTGGACCATTGTCGAATACCTGTATGTAAATTAATTATAGGTGTAATGTGGTACCGATATACAGTACACAAAACATCACATTATAATGTACAGTATTTGATGAAAATAATCTATAAATAATAATAATTTAATAATAATTTAATGACTTATTAGGAGCCCATCCAAAAGAGACCAGAGCGCCGTACACATAGAAAGCAGTTATAGTTGAATATGTCAAAGGTAAAATTAAATCGTTTAAATTCAGGTTAAAACAGCAATGGAATGTCAAAAACATTAGGCCTATACTTAATATTATTGTGAATACGAAGGGTGAAACTTACAATTCAAACTCAAAATGTTGGAAACAAATGAGGTTGAAAGCTTTTTTAATAACCAAGTCCTCTGATTCACGGACAAAATTGTTTAAAACTTTCGAAATTTGCTTAATACAGTATAGGCTCATCTTGACAGTTCTCACTTTCTAATAAGCTGAGATTGATGAAATCCTGGGCCAGATCTTTCCGTATCGTTCTTGGCTACCTATATCAGTGTTGTTGTGATTACTTGTCCGATTACCCCCTTAACCATACAAACACAATAATACACAAGCCTTATCAAATCTTCAAAATTATCTATACTTAAGGTTCCAAGCATACTGCCACCAGGCAGATGGTCAGGCTGAATATTCATAACATTTGTTAAGACAAATTTGTTTTTTTTTTAAATATAAAATGTTGGGATGTTTCTAAATCCTACTTGAAGTAGGCCTACAAGAGTAAATAAATGAGGACATTTCTGTATGAAACAAAATGAATTAATCCGACCATCAAGAGGCCAAATTATAGACCTACGCCTTTTGATTTATACCAGGATTTCCCAAGACACCGGCATGCCATCTGTTTAGCTCTGCCAATTTTGCGTAACAATGCAGGTCTATTGTTTTTGAAAGTTCAAATTAGGTTAGGATAATAAACACAGTTTTAGTACAACAGCTTGAAAGTAGTTTCCTTAAAGATTTTTTTGTCGATATTATTTTGTTTTAATTGTATAATCAAGTGTTGGTTTCCTTATCTGGCGGAACATTAGTATTCAACAACAAAAACATGAGTTGGCTGGTATAGGCCTACCCTTAATTCAATCATTAAAACCGATAATGAGTTTGATGATTTGATGTCGCAGAATTAAGGGCATACCAGGCCATTTGTATCATCTTTAGTTTTTATGTTGAATATCTCTTTACAAAATGTTTCACTAAGATAACCAACATACTATTTGATTTGATACAACCATAGAACCATGGTACATAGGCCTCTTTAATAGACAAACTACTTAATCATTAGTACCGTATCATCGTTATTACGGTACTAATATTAGTGATAAGAGATATTTACTATGATGCATGAATTCTATTTTCAATACTACTTTGTGTTCTTTTTCCACTTAAGATTAATATACAGTACGGTATACATTACCCAGTGGCGGATTTAGAGGTGGGTGGGTGAGGCGTAAGGGGCGTACGCCACCCCTTTTTTGTAAAAGGTAATTTTTGTAAAGCTTATCAGAAAATTGACATGTTAACTATTTGAAATCAATCAAATACAAACTCAAATTAATTATGGTGCTAGAGGTTTCATGGGGATTTTCCCCTTGCACGGACCCCCAGCAGTAGCATGCGACTTTTACTCAGTTCATACATTCACTCACCCCGACCCCCTCTTTTTACCGGACTGTATCCGCCCCTGGTGCCTGGCTCTCATCCAAGGTTTGCAGTGTCACCTCTCAACAGAAAATCTGTATAAATGCGGTTTTTATCCAAAGATTAGCGTCTTTATTAATGCATAGGTCTATACGGTAATTATCCTGGGCATAAAATAATTCAGTTGACGTTTGCATGAAAGTTTAAATCAAGTGACTTCATTACATTTGAAATAATGAGTGGCTTATCTTTCTGGGCGTGTTTCATATTTCTTAATGTATGCCTAACATTTTGTATTTTAAACATATTAATTTTATATTTCAAAATGTAGATTTATAGGGCATCATGTAATTGGCCAATGGCTGTTGGATGTATTTGTGAAATAAAATAATCACTGTATATAATTCTTATAGCCTATTATTATTATTATTATTATTATTATTATTATTATTATTATTATTATTATTATTATTATTATTATTATTATTAATGGAAATCGACATGGAAGGTCTCATGAAAAAACTGAAGTAAGCCAGATCTTGGGGCTCAGACAATGGCGTATTGTTTTATCTATGGCTCGTTTAAGGTTGTTCCAAATATACATCAAGTAAACATCCACAGACTGCACACCATCAACTCACCAGACGAACACAGCTTCTTATAGGTTTAGTACAATATTTTGAATAATTTCGTCTATAGGCATAATTGATTAAGGCCATGCACAGACACCCTAAACGCAGGGAACAGTGAAATTACATTAATTTCACTGTTCCCTGATATACGACAATATTCATAAACGATGATAACGCTATATTCTCAAGGACTTTCCCGGTAAACAATTTACACGTTTGCACAAAACGCTTACACTTTTTTTTTATATATAAGAACACATTTTATAAGAACAATGAGGCTGAGATTGCTTAAAAATTAAGAACAAAATAAGAAAAAATTGAGGCTGAGGTAAAATTTCAAATGAGGTTTTTTTTTTTTAAAAATTTTTTCAAAATATTATATCTGTACATTATGTGCAGTGGTGTGACTGTAATACCCTCTATAATACAGTACAGTAGGTGTACCTATCTGACATTTGGGGGCCATTTTTTGTGGGGTCACTTTCACGTACTGTACAGTGCATACTGCCGTACAATTAAATAATTTTTTGTTTAAAAGTTGTGTAAACTAAGAACAAAATAAGAACATTTTGAGCCTGAAATCGGCCAAAAAATAAGAACACTGAGCCTGGGCAAAATTTTACTGGTTCTTATAAAAAAAAAGTGTATCTGGTTCTTATAAAAAAAAGTGTATTTGAAGAACTAAATAATTGCAAAGTTATAAAAAAAAGTGTATTTGAAGAACTAAATAATTGCAAAGTTGCTGCAAGGTTTGTGTCACAGATCCTATATAAAATAGGATCTGTTGTGGTTGTGTTAACGTAGTTTTCTGACATACTGTACCTAGCGGTGGTGAATCTAGGAATTCGAAATAGAGGGGACCCGGGGAGGTTTTTTGACAGATGGAGGGTCTAGAGTACCTCAGCCCCACTGGTTGTGAAATTTTATGATGGTCGGAAATGGCACTCTATGACTTAAATTTGAATATATTTTTTTTTTGCTTTATTTTTCATAGGGCCTAATTCTGAACAATATTAGAGAGAGAAACGGGCTGGCTGCCCCCCCACCCACACCCCTCCTCTTGAATCCACATGCTAACTACAAGTTCGCGAACACTACTTTGTGTTTGCAGGGTTCGACTCCGATTCAATGATCCAACCATTTCTCTATGTTCGGACAAATTGTTACGGTACAATATACTTTGTTGATTACAAAT